TTCAACTGAGCATGATCTTTGTATCATAATAAAATATCCAGGACTTAGAGAGAGCTCATGAGGTAGCAGGAGAGACAGAACAATGGTTCTCAGTGAGCGTGATTGATAGCTAATAAAACATGAAGACAGAATGCTATGAGAGCAACAGGTCAGACCCAGGGGTGTCAGTGAAGGCTTCCTAATAGAGGCTAGATCTTAGGTGGAAGTTAGCCCAGTGCAGAGGTAAGGGTTCGATTAGTGGGAGGAGAAAAGTGTTTAGGCAGAGTGAAAAGCAATTTCAAAGGCAAGAAGCCAAGGATATGTGGGTCAATATCACAACTGAGTTCAACTGAGCATAATCCCTTCCAGCTCCATTCATGTTGCCGCGAATGGCATGAGTATATCTTTTTGATTGCTGAATAGTTTTCCATGGTGTATATGTACCACATCTTCTTGATCCAGTCATCTGTTTTGGGGCATCTGGGTTGTTTCCATAGCTTAGCTATTGTAAATAGTGCTGCAATAAACATAGGGGTGCAGGTATCTTTTTGAATTAATGTTTTTATGTCCTTTGGGTAGATTCCTAGGAGTGCAGTTGCTGGGTCATATGGAAGCTCCATTTTTAGTAGTTTGAGGAACCTCCACACAGCTTTCCGTAGTGAAGCTGGAAGGGATTATGCTCAGTGAAGTAAGCCAGGAAGAAAAATAAAAATATCAGATAGTTTCACTATAGGAAGAATGTAGGGAAACCAAATAAGGGATCAGGAAAAATTATAATAAATTTAAAAACAAAATTAATAGGCAACTATTATATTAATCAGAGACACTGCAGAGGAAGGGGAGGGAGAGGGATCAAAACTAGAGGGAAGAGCACAAGAGACTATGGTGATGGTACACAGGTGAATTGGTGGTGGGAATTTTACGTGGACTACACCTGAGAGGAGAAAGCATGCATGGTACAAAAAGGAAGAATGATGTAAAATATATATTAAAAATACATATAATAATTTTTAAAAAAGAAATAATAAAAAAAAACTGTAAAAGGGACTACCGGGTCTCCCTGGTGATGCAGAGGTTAAAGTCTCAGAGCTATCAAGCTAACACCAGTCACTACAGCACTAGTTTGATCCCTGGCCAGGGAGGTGACCCACATGATGCAGCAGACCTCTCCTGACTCACCCCCTGCTCCCCTCAGCAATGTATTGCAATAGATCTGCCTGTTCTGTTACCCATTGTCTCTGGTGAATCCTCTCACCCCCTCCCCATCCTACCCCAACCTCTGCTGGCCTACATCCCAGTTCTTGTATGCGTAAATTTAAAAAAAAAAAAGAAGGGACTCCCAGCAACTACAAAGGACTTTGTATGCACTTGAGTTCATTGAAAGGTGTATGACTAGATTGTATTTTATTTATTTTTTTAAAGATTTATTTATTTATTTATACAAGCACTGGGTACAGTCAGAAGTGCGGGAGGGTGAGAGAACTCACCAGAGCCAGAACAGGGAACAGAACAGGCAGACTGACGAAATACACTGCTGAGGGGAGCAGCAGGTGCGGCAGGAGAGGTCTACGCACCATGTGGGACCCTCGCAGGTGGCCGGGGATCGAACCGGCGCTGCAGAGTCTGCGGGGAGCTTCGCAGCCCAGCGTTCAACTGCTGTGCCACCAGGGGAAACCCGACTAGATTGTATTTTATAAAGATTCACTAACCACATGTTGTTATCAAGGTGAAAGAACTGCCATCATTTGCCTCCAGATGCTAAGAATACATCAATACTTCTGTGTTATTGCCAAAAAGGTATAACTTGAATTAACCATGAGGAAAAATCACATAACCCCAATTAAGAACATTCTATATTTTTAACTGCAAAAATGTCAATATCATGAAACAAAAAAGGCTGAGAAGCTGCTCCAGATTAAAGGAGACTAAACAGTTAAATCTTTGCCCTGGATCCGGTCTGGAAATGAAATCCTTGTTTTCCTTTTGTTATAAAGCACATTAGAGACAAATAGTGAAATTCAACTAGCTAATACTGTATTGAAGTTAAACACCTGATTTTGATAATTTATGCTGTGGTTACATAAAAGAATGTCCTTGTTTTCAGGAGATGTACACCAAACTATTTAGAGGCAAAGGAACATCCTATCTACAGCTTACTCTCAAATTGTTTAGAAAAAAATATATGTGTAATTGAGAGAAGGCTAAAGCAAATGTGGTAAACTTAACATTTGGGGGATCTAGGTGAAGGGTAATCATGAATTCTTAATGTTATTTTTGCAACTTTTCTGTGCCTGAATATTTTTTTTTTCCAAAATAAAGTTACTCCTTCCCCAGGAGGGAGAGGGATCAGAGGGAGGGAGGGAGGAGCACAGGGGACTGAGGTGATGGTGCACGGGTGCCTCGGGGAAGGAAACTCTATGGGGACTACACCTGAGGGGGTGGGGGGAAGTAAATATTGTTTAAAAATGAACAATGATGTAAACAAATAAAAAATTCATTAAAAATAAAATAAAAAAATAAAGTTACTCCTTGCCTGCTCCCAGTCCCCCACCCCCGCCAAAAAAAGGAAATAGTTGAACAAATTCTATAGGTCAGTGCTGCAGTGTCAGGGAGGGGAGGGTGAATAAGATGCGTTCCCTGCTCACAGGACTCACAGGCTGTTTTGGCAGAGCCAACAGGGTGAGACCTCCAGAAAGATGCTAATAATTTGGGCAAGAAATGGGGAAAGACCTGAGCAAATCCTGGCGGTGCCAACATAGTTGGAGGCACAGTAAAGAGACGATTTCTAACTGGAAATTGGTGACTAACTGGACTCGAGCTAGGAAGCAAGAGAAATCTAATGAGCTGTCTGGGCTTGCCCAACCCTTCGTTTGGACCATGGTCCCATTCACCAAGATAGAGTGTCCAGGAGCTTTGAGGAGCATAATGGGATGCTTTTAGACAGCTCAGTGGTGCTCTTGAGTGGAGGTTTTGATTTACAGGTCTATGGCATGGGGGATAGTTGGGTCTGAGTTTGGGGAGCCATCAGCATTTAGGAGGCAAAAAAAAAGTCATGGGTGGGCCTTCCTGGTGGAGCAAGGGGTTAAGCACACACTATTAAGCTGTGAAGCTTCTGCAGCATGAGTTCTATCCCGGCCAGCCGGGGAGCTACCCACATGGTGCAGCAGACCTCTTCTGTCTGGCCCACTGCTCCCCTCAGTGGTGTATTTCAGTCAATCTGCCTGTTGTGTTCCCCACTCTGTCTCTGGTGAATCCTCTCACCCCTCGCACCTCTGGCCTGTACCCCAGTTCTTGTATGCATAAATAAATAAATCTTTAAAAAATTAAAATAAAATTTAAAAAGCCATGGGATACGAAGAGAGCACACCAGAACCCCTGAGATCCCAAACAATTGGACATCACAATCTCACTCTTTGCCCCACCCAAAAGTGTCCTTCAATGCTTATTTTTCTGTGGATGGTTTGGGCTATATGCCAGATTTTTCCCAGCTGGCTTTAGGATGTCTCCTCACTTTGTACACTTGTGTTTTCCCATCTGTAAATAGGAACATTGGAGAGTACTTTTCTTTAGTCCCTCTCAGGGCAAAGGGGAAATAATGGAGACTATAGTGCTAGTTATTCATAATTACCTTAAACTGAGCTGGAACTGCTCCAACTATCTCCTGCTTGCATAGAGCCCTGTCCCTTTGGATATTGATTTTTTTTAAGATTTATTTATTTATTCATACAAGAGCTGGGGTACAGGCCAGAGATGCAGGGGGGTGAGAGGATTCACCAGAGATAAAGTGGGGAGCAGAACAGGCAGAAGGACTGAAACACACTGCTGAGGGGAGCAGCAGGCAAGACAGGAGAGGTCTGCTGCACCATGTGGGTTGCTCCCTGGCTGGCCGGGGATTGAACTCCTGCTGCAGTGGCTGTGGTTAGCTTCATAGTGCCGCGACTTAACCCCTTGCGCCACCAGAGAGGCCACCACTGAATAATTTTTGACAGCTCATACACCTATACAATTCAAACGTCCATCAGGATACAGAACACAGCCATGCCCGAAAATGCACTTCGCTCCCCTTCTCAGTGAATCGTTGGCTCCCAATCCCCAGGAGTAACTGCCATTCTGTTTACTTCCCTCTATTACCTTTTTCAAGTATTTAAAATAACTTGTGGGTTATTTGGAGAAATATGGGATGGTCAGGTGGCAGGACCAGGCACACATTTAGACTCTCAAAGGAGAATGTGAGGCCGAGTGCTGCTTAGGATCATTTTATTCCATATGATTTTAAAATCCAATCAAAGCCGGTCCTCTTTCCTCCAGCAAACAACGTTGTGCTGTTTTGCAAGAGCTGGGTCTTCACCTGGGAAAGGGAGGATTTGTTTAACTGCTTTGTTCTTTCCTCTATCACCAGTTGGTGTTTAACTGGACCCTCAGACATTTTAACATCATTAAGTGATAAAGCAGCTCGGCGTCCAAACTCCACAGCTTAGGTTCATCGAGCTCCAAACCTCTGCCCCACCTCCCTGTGCCAGGAGGCTCCGCCGGAATCTTCCAGCTGGCAGAGGAGGGGGCTGTCGAGGGGGTGGGCAGTCCCCAAGCCCCGCGCCTGCTGAGCGGAGCTGGGTCTCCTCCGCTTCCTCCTCGCCAGCCCCACCCCCACCCGCGGTCTGACCTTTGAGCCGCCCTGGAGGTCACCAGCCGGGTGAGCGCCCGGTCGGCTGCCCCCGCCCCGCCCCCGGGGGAGGCAAGGTCTGGCGGCTGCCGAGCGCGACCGGCCGGGCCCGGTCTCGGATGAGCTGGGGCGCGGGGAGGAGGCCGGCTGTCCTCTGTCCGCCCGGGGACCAGGCGGCCCAGCCTTCCGGCTTCCCAGGAGCTCGCGTCGCCTGCGGCGGCGGCGGCGCTGCCAGACCGTGCCAGGGCCCGCACCCGCCCAGGGACCCGAGCGGCGCGGCCCCCTGACGCCGCGTCCCGTCTCCTCCCGCCGGGGCCACCCTGCGCGGCCCTTGCAGACGCGGCCCGGGCAGAAAAGGGACATTTGCCAGAGCCCTGGCTTGCACGGCGGAGCGAGGGCTTAAAAGTTAAGTCCCAGAGGCCGGTGTCTGGTCTGGGGACTTATCTAAGATCGATAGCGTGCAGGCCTTTGAAGCCAGGGCCACTTTTCAACAGCCAGTGAAGGTTCCGAATGCTCTGCCCCTCGCAGTGGGTATTGGAATGGAGGCTCATTTGAGCTGTCTCTTTTTAAAAATGTCGTTTATTCAAGGAAATATGAAACCAAAGATTAGCCTCCTTTCTCCTGGCTTCCTTTGCCCAGCTAGGCTGGAGCCACTTCAAAGCAGGCAGATGCTGGGGGAGAAGGATGAGGATGCCTGCAGTTTTTATCATCATCCCACGGAGTTTAGGAGAGAGAGAAGGCTCTTGAAGGTTGCCTATCTTTCCCCTTCCCCGTGGGTTTCTTACATAAAAGTGGTTTGTTTTTCATTTCTGGTACTGGTGTTTGTTTTTTCCTTTATCTTCCAATTCACTGGTCTGGGTCTCTGGCCCCAAGTCGCAGCACAGTGTTTCTGCCTGCAGAGTGCACGCAGCCTTACTAAACTGGCACAGCCTTTCTAGAAATAACTGTGGGACTCTCAGTACCTTCAAGGGGACCCAGATAATGTCCTTTTCTCCACCCCTTCCTTTGTCTGAAGTTGAAAATGGATGTTAGTTCTAATTTACTGTAGTAATACTAAATTATTATAACACTAAATAAACACTTCTAAACATGTTGTTCAGTAAAATGCAGAGCAGGCCAGCTCTCTAGCCTTTGAGCAATGAGCAGTGAATCTACAGCATCAACAGTTGATGTGGGGTGCAGCGGGAGCAGTTGCACCAATGAGGGAGCTGCCCGCCCCTGAGCCTCAGGGTCTAGGTGCTGGCTTAAAAAGCAGCCTCCCTAGCTCTGGAACTGAGGCTCTGAGTGTCTCTAGCACCAAGGTGTGGGTGTTGTGGCGTTGCTCTCTCTGCACGCTCTCTCTGAAGATAGCTTGAAAAAAAGACACTGGTAAGTTGATTGACGATGTCTCATGTTCTTGCCTATCGGCACTTTCTTCTTTTTCATACATGTCTCCTCCTGTCATGTTGAATATCTTGTTCTAATCTGGGGAAAGTGTGTTCAGCCTTTCCAGTCCAAAAAAAAAAAAAAAAACCTCTTAAAAAAAAAAACAAAACACACCCCTTGGGATTTTACCAGGGTCTTAAGCCAGCTCTTTTGCTGAATTTACTCCATGTGATTACATTTTGTTTTATCTCTGTTACCTGCAGTAGATCTCCCCTATGACAATGTCTTCCGTTAAGATTGAGTGTGTTTTGAGGGAGAACTGCCACTGCGGAGAGTCTCCAGTGTGGGAGGAAGCAACCAGCTCCCTGCTCTTCGTAGATATTCCTGCAAAAAAGGTTTGCCGGTGGGATTCGCTCAGCAAGCGAGTGCAGCAAGTGATCGTGGGTAAGGTTGAAGCCAGACTCACATCTGCCCAGACTGCAGCTCTTCCCTGGGGCGGGGCGGTCACACAGGCTTTGTCATCCCCCCCCCCCCCAGCCTCTTGTTAAAGCTTACCGAATATATCTTACAAGCTACAAACTGCTATGTGCTCTGTGTCCACATGCAATGTCCTCCCACTTTGACTCGAGTAAATTCTGGATGGTCAGTACACTTCTTCTTCACTGTAGGGTCTTTCCTTAATACCTTTATATATCAGCCTTGGAAGTTAGACACCCAGTTTGTGGCACAGCAGAGGCTATCCACTTGGGGTCAGGCCAAGGCCTTATTGTTTTTTAAAAAACAGATATATCCCTTTGTGAATGTGAAAGGAGAGCTTTTAAGCTTATAAACTAGCAGTCAGGGCCTCAAGACACAAGCGTTGTCAAGCTGCCACCAGCCACTGCAACATGACTTTGCCCCGGCCAGAGAGCTACCCACATGGCGCAGCAGACCTTTCCTGTCTCGCCCGCTGCTCCCCTCAGCAGTGCATTTCAGTTGATCTGCCTGTTCTGCTCCCCACTCTGTCTCTGGTGGATCCTCTCACTGCCCCCCCCCACACCTCTGGCTTACACCCCAGTTCTTATATGCATAAGTAAATAAATCTTTAAAAAAATAAAAAAAAGTAGCAGTCAGCACTGTCATTCAGTACAATCTATTCACTGTACAAACTAGGATTCAGGGTGAATTTCCAGTGCATTTGAGTGTGATTCTTCCTGTTTACAGCCACGTGACTTCCAAAGAAAGGGTTTATCACATTCTAAGCCCAGAGGGTATAGGCTTGATTAGCATAATGAAGTTTCTTGTTTTCATTATTGTGTTTATGGGAAGGGACAGATACCAGGAATTCCTGTGCTTGTGGGACACTCTCAACTCAAAACTGGGGACTTCAAACTTCCTTTTTTTAAAGATTTATTTTTATTTATTTATGCATACAAGAACTGGGGTGTAGGTCAGAGGTGTGGGGGGCGAGAGGATTCACCAGAGACAGAGTGGGGAACAGAACAGGCAGACTGAAATACACTGCTGAGGGGAGCAGCGGGCGAGACAGGAGAGGTCTGCTGCGCCATGTGGGTTAGCTCCCTGGCGGGGGATCGAACTCATGGCACAGTGGCGGGCAATAGCTTGATAGTGCTGAGACTTTAACCCCTGTGCCACCACGGAGGCCCCCATTTTCTTTTTTCTTAATGGGAGGGAATAGCCTTTTAATTCACCCAGGGATATGACTGTGTCTACTGGCAAAGTGACTATGACTGCTGAGGTCCAATGGAGGGGAAGGGCCGCTGGCCTTCTCTGATCTGTCCTAGCATGCAAGTAGAACCCAATTGGCAGGAGTATCTCCCTACCCCTAATCTGCAAGCCACACCCCAAACCCTGGAAAAGATTTGTGTCAGCAGTAGCTTGGAAAGCTCAAGATGCCACGGCTTGGCATCTCTGATAAGGATGTGATCCTCCTAATAGTGTCCTGCACATCCCCTGGGACGCCCACAGGGGATCTAAGCAGGGCTTTAGCTGAACGCTGCTCCTAAGCACCCAGGACCTTGCACTGAGGAGGGGCTTAGGAAATGTTTTCACAATAAATTCTGATACATTTATTGCTCACTGCGGTAATCCATCTCCCCACTGGAAAAAAGAAATGTTCCTTTATACTTGGGGAAATATTAAACCCAAAAAACCTGAAATTTAAAAATACAAAGTTAGTAATATGATGAAGACATGATTGTTTTATCACTGCACCTGCAATTCCTATCTATGTAGTCATTATTTTTATCATGCTGACTTCAAAAAGGATTTAAGAAACAATTTTCAATTTAATACGTATATACTTGGGCCCTGATATTGGAGGGGGAGAGAGATGTCACCAAACCTAGTTTCTGGAACTAAACAGTTTGTGTCTGAATTTCCCGGAGATCAGACAAATTGAGCATCACTTGCAGTGTGACATCGGAACTAGTGCTCCCCCTCCCCGTTTGGAACCCCTCCTCTGAACTTGATGTGATGCCTGCCCCCAGTGCATAATGGCTGCTGTGGTTTGGCTTTTGCGTTTCCCCTGCTAGAGTGGCAGCTTTTCGAAGAATTGGGTTTTCTTCACCTTTCTATCCCTGCTGCCCAGAACAGCGCACGCTTCATGCTCCCGGATGTAGCCTTCCCGATTCCACAGGAGAAAGAGTTCCTGCTGTCAAAGGGCTGGAACCCTCTTAGGTGGTGCCAGGAGGCGCGATGACCACAGTGTGCTACTCAGCCGCTGGGTTGCTTGCTGCATTCTGAGTGCTGCCCTTGCCTCTACAGATGCCCCCGTCAGCTCCGTGGCCCTGCGCCAGTCAGGAGGCTATGTCGCCACAGTTGGAACAAAGTTCTGTGCTTTGAACTGGGAAAATCAGTCAACAGTTGCCCTGGCCACAGTAGATAAAGACAAGAAAAACAATCGATTCAATGACGGGAAGGTGGATCCTGCTGGGAGATACTTTGCTGGTATGGTTTCTCTTTAGCACTTACTGAGTTTTGGAGAAAATCAGAACATGACTTATAAAAGTCTTACTCCCATCATGGTAAATGTGTTACTCACAAAGCGTTGTAGGTTCTTCTTTGATTATTGCTTGAGTACCTTCTCCCATTCAAAAATAATTCCATGAGAAAAACTTCATAGACATGCCTTTCAATTTCTGTCTCTAGCACAGACTAAAATATGTCACTTTTGTGGTTTAAATGCGATTTAAAATAGAGGTTTCGTTGTTGCTATTGTTGTTTAAATTAGAAATAATTTCAACCTTAGAAAAAAGTAAGAATAGTACAAAGTATGCCTGTATGCCCTCTACCGAGATTCACTGTTGTCAACGTTGTGGTCCATTTGCTCTTTCTCTCTCCTCGTATTTCTCCAGAATTATTTGAAAGTAAGTTGCATATATTACATGTCTTTACCCGTAAAATATTTCATTGTGAATATCCCAAGAAAAAACGACATATTCTTACATGACCACACTATAGTTATCAACTTAAAGAGTTTAAGATTCATTCAATAATTTTATCTGATGTACTATCTATATTCCAATTGTATCAATTGACCAATTAATATCCTCTATCACATTTTCTCCTCCGGTATAGGATTCAGTCTAAAATCATGTTTTGCATTTAGTTGTTATATCTCTTTATCTGCAACATTTCCATAGCCTTTATTTGTCTTTTATGACATTGCCAGTTTTGAAGAATATAGTCCCACCCAACTCTCCCCCATTCAAATAGAATGTTCCCAAAAAAATATAGATTGTTCCTTATATTCCTCATGTTTTTGTGTTAGTCTGATGTTTCCTTGCGGTTAGATTGATGCTGTTCATTCATGGCTGGAACACTGGGTGATGTTCTGTCCTATCCAGATGGTATCCCCTTTGGATACCATCTGTCCATCACTGGTGATGTTTTGATCACCTGGTTAAGGTGTTCTCAAATTTCTCTGTTGCATAGTTATTATTTTTTCAATTGTTATTTGTAAGCATCTTGGGGAGGGTTGTTAATTATTGTCATGTAAGAAGTACCCTGAAATTTAGTGGGTTAAAATAACAAACATGTATTGAAATGCTGTTCTCCCAGGCCATTGAAAACCTGACATTAGGAAAGCATTGTGCAGCAAAACTGCTTATTCAGACTAAATGGGAAATGAATATGAGCACTGTGTTCCTGTTATCCGCTGTGTATTGTTGCTGAGTAAATGATTTAATGAGGATTTGAAAAGTCTTAACATTTTTTTGCAAGTCAAAAACCTTTCATTGGAGAGGACAAACAGTTCTCCATTTTAAATTATCTGATGTGTTTAGATTAATATGAATGAATGTGTATACACACATATGTATGTGTTTCTGTCTATATGTATAAATCCCATGGCTCAAGTAAAAAATAAATAACACACATCTTAATTAACTTCTGAAGGTTAAAATCTGGCTGTGGCTTAGATGAACAGTTCTAGCTCAAGGCTCTCCTGAAGTTGCAGTCAGTCTGTCTGCCAGCACAAGTCTGGGACAGGGCTGGAGTTTCTGATGAGGCCTAGAGACTCACATGGGAGATGGCAGGAGGCTTCCGTTCCTTAGTGTGTGAGTCTGTCCCCAGGGCTGCTAGGAACACGGCTTCCTCAGACCAGTTATCAGACAGACAGAGAACCCAAGATGGAAGCTACCGTCTTTTTTTTTTTTTTTAAGATTTATTTATTTGTGCATACAAGAACTGGGGTACAGGCCAGAGGTGTGGGGGGGTGAGGATTCACCAGAGACAGAGCAGGGAACAGAACAGGCAGACTGACTGAAATACACTGCTGAGGGAGCAGCGGGCAAGACAGGAGAGGTCTGCCTCACCATGTGGGTAGCTCCCTGGCCCGCTGGGGATTGAACTCGTGCTGCAGTGGCTGCAGATAGCTTCATAGGTGTGTCTTAACCCCTTGCGCCACCAGGGAGGCCCCACTACAGTCTTATTGTAACCAATCTTGGAAATAACATGGCGTCATTTGTGCCACATGCAGAAGGATGGGGGGGGGGTTGGAGAGACAGAGACTCATGGGAGGCGGGATCATTGAGGCCGTGTTAGAGGCTGGTGATAACATGGGGAGCTACTTTAAGCCCACACAAATATCGTGGTCCTCATTGAAAATTCTCCCTTCAGTTTTACATTTGTCGATGATTCTTGCTTGATTCAATCTTTACGGTGAGGCATGCAGGATGACTTATACACAGCTTTAAGTGAGTTTTAACTACACTTTGAAATTAAAGAATGCATTTTTTTAACAATACAATATTTCATTTTATTCATTCTCCATTTACTCGAGCAAAAAATGACAGAAGCTCTCCATTGGAGATTGGAGAAATGTCAGAAGTATTAAGTGGGATTATGTAGTGGCAATGATTAATAACTGTTGTTATTTACATAATGCATTACATAATGCATAATTATATAATACATAATGCATACATAAATAAGAAGTCTACTTATTTATCTCCCATCATAAGTAAACCATAGTTGATTCTAAATCCTAGCTGTTTTCACCCCCCTCCACAATGCCCCCTCACAGGATTAATTGGCTTTGGCTGTCCTGACTCCATTCACATTCAGCATGGAAGGCAGGTAAGGCATGAGCATCTGGCTGTGGACTGGTTCCCCTCTTCCTAAGCTTTACACAACCACAGATTTAGTCTGGGACCAGCTGAAAGATTAAGGATGAGAATCCATTGGAAGCCCTGCTGCCAGTAATTTCTGCAGGGTAAAGAAATATGATTAGCTATTTTACCTCCTGTAGAAATTGATCTTATTTTTTCCTTATGGCTAGAAGTTTGCAGTTCTGTGGCCCTTTGTGAGACAAAATAAAATGTCCTCAGAGGCGTGAGTTCTTGGCCTGGAGTCCCCAGTTCTTAACCTGTGCGCTAAGGAGATGCCTTAAATTATAAGTATCATTGTGAGTTTACCTCCTGGCCGAGCACATCTGCAGAAGCAGAAGCACCTGAGAACCATTTTCTAGAAAGAGTTCATGGCTTTCAGCAGTTTCTGAGAGGTATCACTGGCCCAGAAAAGCGTGGGTCAACAGGTTATCTGGATGGAGCAGTAGGCAGTGCCCTGAAAGTGTTACTGTGCCAAAAGTCTGACCTGTCTGTGCTCTGGTTGTTCTCTCTCGCTAAGGAAGAGCCTTTTACAAGCAGCAGGGACTCACTTCACTTTCCAGGCATATCTTTTTGTGAGGTAGATAGTGGGAGGAGTATTTTTTAATGATTTATTTATTTATGCATACAAGAACTGGGGTACAGGCCAGAGTGTGGGGGTGAGAGGATTCACCAGAGACAGAGTGGGAAGCAGAACAGGCAGATCTGCTGAAACACACTGCTGAGGGGAGCAGCGGGCAGGACAGGAGAGGTCTGCTGTGCCACGTGGGTCACCTCCCTGGCTGGGGATAGAATTCAGGCCTTGGCTGTAGGCCCTCATGGTGGGAGTGCTGAGACTTAACCCCTAGGCTTCCAGGGAGGCCTTAATTTTTGCTTTCAACCATCAGCAATATTTTGAAGAACTAAAGAGAAGAACAGTCTGTAATATTTACTGTTCCTCTTGCTCTTCCTTCAGTCCTGATATTCCTCTCCTCTTTTTGGTACCCCATCCCTTCTGTCTGAAGTTCCTTTAGCAATTCTTTTAGAACACGTCTGCTGGCTACTAATCTTTTTTCATTTTGCTTCATGTGAAAACATCTTTATTTTGCCTTTGTTCTTTTTTTTATTATTTTATTATTTATTTATTTATTTTTAAAGATTTATTTATTTATTTATTTATTTATTTATACAAGCACTGGGTACAGTCAGAAGCGCGGGAGGGTGAGAGAATTCTAGGTTAATACTTTTTTCCTTCAGTAAATTAAAAATAGGTCACTACCTTCTAACCTCCATGGATCCTCATGAAAAATCCAGTCATTGAAATCATTATCCCCTTGTGTGTAATGTACCATTTTTCTTTCATTGCTCTTGAGAATTTCTGTTCAACTCTAGTTTTCAGAAATTTGATTGTGCTATGTCTGGGTATAGGTTTCTTTAGCCTTAATTCAGCTTCCTGAATCTGTAGATTCATGCTTTTCACCAAACTTGGGAAGGGTTGAGTGATTATTTTTTCAAATATTTTTTTTGTCCTGTACTCTCTTTTCTAAAAATCCAATGACACATGTATTCAGTAACACTTTTGTTGTCGTCCCTAAAGTTCTGTTCATTTCTCTTTTTAAGATTTATTTATTTATTTATTTTTATAGAGGCATGTTTTATTTATTCATTTGTTTGTTTGTTTGTTTTGTTTATACATGCACTGGGTACAGTCAGAAGAGCGGGAGGGTGAGAGAATTCACCAGAGCCAGAGCAGGGAGCAGCAGCAGGCAGAAGGACCGAAGTACACTGCTGAGGGGAGCAGCGGGCGGCAGGAGAGGTCTGCGCGCCATGTGGGACCCTCCTCCAGTGGCCGGGGAGCAGCCGGGGATCAAACCAGCGCCGCAGAGGCCGCGGGCGGCTTCGCAGCCCAGCGCTCAACCGCTGCACCACCGGGGAGGCCCTCATTTCTCTTTTTAAAAAAGATTTATTTATGCATACAAGAGCTGGGGGGTAGGCCAGAGATGTTGGGGGTGAGTGGATTCACCAGAGACAGAGTGGGGAGCAGAACAGGCAGATCTACTGAAACGCACTGCTGAGGGGAACAGCAGGCGAGTCAGGAGAGGTCTGCTGCACCATGTGGTTCAGCTCCCTGACCGGGGATTGAACTCGTGCTATAGAGGCTGCAGATAGCTTCATAGTGCTGCGTCTTAACCCCTTGCACCACCAGGGAAGCCCCTCTGTTCATTTCTTTTTCAATCTTTTTTTTCTCTCTCATTCATATTGGATAATTTCCCTTGATCTAGCATCCGGTACACTGACTCCTCTGTCATCTCTGTTCTGCTCTTGAGTCCATTCAGTGAGTCGTTTATTTCAGTTATTTTGTTTTTCAGTTCTAAAGTTTTCATTTGGTTATTCTTTATACCATCTACTTCTTTGTTGATATTTTCTAGTTTGAGTTTTGTTTCAAGACTGTTTACAACCTTCTCATTTGAGCATTTTTATAGGAACTGCTTTAGTCTTGGTCAAATAATTCCAACATCTGCATCATCTCATCCTCTGCATCTGTTGATTCTTTTCCTAGACAAGCTGAGATTTTCATGCTTCTTTGTGTTGTCAGTAATTTTGTATTGTATCCTGGATATTTTGATGATTAGGTTATGAGATAAATCCTATGGAGAATGCAGATGTATTTGTTTTAGCTAACAATCTATATGTTTTGATTGAGATAAGTTCCAACCTGCTTTTTATTAGTGCTATTAGGCTCTGTCCACATGTTTGCCATTCAGTGGTCAGTCTGAGACCTAGGAGTTCTATCCATTAGCTCCATCCTCAAAGTCTTTGGTATACAAATTAAACCAGACCATTGCATGTACAACCAGTGGATGAGCCCAGATCATAACAGTCACAGAGAGCTCATTCTTTAGTAACACCCTTCTTCACTAGCTCCTGCTCCTTTCCAATTTCCTGGAGCTCTCCTTTTCTTTCCTCTAACCAGAACCTGCCTGCTTCCAGGATAGTGCTGCCCCTGGGGCCATGCAGCAGTAGGACGGAGAAAACATAAAAGCAAGTATTTGTCTCAGTCCTTCTGTTCCTGCAGCTTCACCAAATTGGGGGGGGGGCGGGGTGGACAGAGGAGGAAGTGTTCCCTTCTCTCAGAGTCTTGAGTAGTTTCCAATTGTCAGCCACTCTCTTGTTGTCACACATGCTACAGAATTGCCTGGAGACTGGCGCATGAGAGAATAGAGAAAGGGGAGTAGAAAAGAGCCAGGGGATTTCCTCTGCTCTCTCATGTGCTTCATGGGTTTTCCTTTCTGCTCCTTAAGCCAGATCTAGAGTTTCCCTTGGATCCCTGTCTGCTCCATAGTGCTCCCTTCCAGGTTTCAGGCTCTACTGAGGTCAGGCCAGGACACGCTGGAGAATAAAATAAAGAACCCACCGGCAACTAAGTAGTACTTCATTCCGGTGCTCTTCCCTTAGTGATATTTACTTTGCAGAGTCCTCAAGTAACTATGTCATGCTTTTGTCCAGGCTTTATAGTTGTGCTCAGTGGGAGAAAACAAGATTGGTGCACAGGTACTCCTTGCCTAGAACCAGAACCTCTCGGTGTAGTTTAATTCAGTTTTAAATGTAGGACCCAGATTAGGATCCTATAATGATTTCCATGATTTAATCATCAGAAAGTCTCACTGGTGAGAAAATGTAATGTAGCGCAGTGGGCAAGATGCTGGGAGGCTGACCCCAGTGCTCTTTGGTTTTTTTCAGGCACCATGGCTGAGGAAACAGCCCCAGCGGTTCTGGAGCGGCACCAAGGCTCCTTGTACTCCCTCTTTCCTGACCACCACGTGGAAAGGTACTTTGACCAGGTGGACATCTCCAATGGTTTGGACTGGTCCCTGGACCATAAGATCTTCTATTACATTGACAGCCTGTCCTACTCTGTGGATGCCTTTGACTATGACCTGCACACAGGAAAGATCTGTATGTACTTTTTCATTATTTCTCTTAATACTGCTGGTAGTTTTCATACGCATATAACTGGCAGATGGCCTCTCCCTCAACCCCCGTGAATAGGTCCTCAGTTATCGAGCAGAGAGCTGCCCGGTGTTCTTATTCCAATATAGTAATGATCGCTGCTGGTCAAGCCATGGCTCGCAACTCAACTAAATATGGCCACAGTTAGCATAATAGGGATAGGTCCTTAATCCTCTTTCCTGCCACCATCACTAGAAAGAGGCTCAACATAAAATGGACCTTGATCTACCAAGAGGTGCTTAATAGCAAGTAATATACTGCAGGATCGAATAAAAGAACATTAGAGTTTTGGGTGGATTTTTACTTCAGTTGAACATAGGCAAGTGCTCAGAGACAAATTAACAAGCTTTCAGGCTTCAGTTCAGGTCAGCATCAAAAAGAACAATTGGTGTTTTAGTAAAAATTCTACTTTCTTTTTTCTCTCCTCCTCTGAAAGTTTAGAAGGTGTGTCTGTAATCCAATGAAAAGGCGTGAATCCACTTTGAATCACATAGTACAAATCCTCTGTTGAGGGGTGCCCACTAGTGTTTCCGGACACGTTTTAGAGATCAGAATCCTTCAGAACCACCCCTGTGGTGCCCACGCACCAGATCCTGTATAAGCAGAAGTGATCAGGATCATAATCTTCTTGAGAGCACACTGTTTTGATGCTTAGTACTGAGTGGCTGGTTGTTTGGTGGTGTGTATGTATGCTTGTGTCTTTTTTTCACCATAGCCAACCGTCGAAGTGTTTACAAGCTGGAGAAAGAAGAACAAATCCCAGATGGCATGTGTATTGACACTGAGGGGAAGCTCTGGGTGGCCTGCTACAATGGAGGAAGAGTGATTCGTTTAGATCCTGAGACAGGTAGGCCCACAGCAAAAAAAACTCCTGCCCTCTATAGAAAACTCCAGACCTCAGAGGCATGAGAAATTTCATGACTAACAAAGTTAGATTAGAAATACATTCAAAATTTCAGTGGTATGATTTTGGAAATAAAGGCAAAGATAGAACCCAAAATTGATAGTCAGAACTTTGGTTTGGAGGTAAGTATTTTTGTTTAAAATCAATTGTCAGGGAAACTAGATTAAATATGCTTCAAGTCTGATGCCCACAATCTTCTTTGAACTTCCCACAAGGTGTCCCAGAATGTTGTGCTGCTTGAAAATTTGCTAGAATTAAACCTAAATAAAATATTTGGTAATCTAGGGAAAAGACTCCAAACCATGAAGTTGCCTGTTGATAAAACAACCTCATGCTGCTTTGGAGGGAAGGATTACTCTGAAATGTATGTGACCTGTGGCCGGGATGGAATGACTCCCGAGGGTCTCTTGAAGCAACCTGAAGCTGGTGGAATTTTCAAGGTGATCTGGCTATTTCTTTGATTTTAAGGGTGAGGTAGGAAAAGTTTGGTTAAGTAACTAAGCAATTAGTGCTTTTTCATACTTGTAAAACATAAAATTCCATTTAACATTTTAAGCTCATCATGCTAGACTTAAAACATTTTATTGAGATTTTCTAAATTGTCCATTATCTGAAGTCCAGGACAATGTGTCTGGCCTACTTTGTACAATACTTAAACTTTTTTTTTTTTTTTTTTTTGCTTCAGTAGTATTTATTGAAATCCTATAAATCAATAGTATGGGCTTGGAAAACCAGTGTTTGAAACATATTTATCAGTTAATTTTGTTTAATGTCCTAAGAATTTTTTTTATGTTTTTAATTTTTTGTAACAAAACAAATACTGATAAAAATTATAGATTTTTAAATCTGAAAACATGTGGACATCTCCCAATTCAAACCTCTTTCTTTACAGGTGAGAAGATGCTAGAAATAAATTCAGTTTTAAATCCCTGTTAATTGTAAATGGTTGCTATTTGGATTATTAACTATGTGAATAATTGGATTGGACCATAAATACCACATAAGTAGTTCCTTTTTATGATAGGAAATAAAACAAGGGTAACAGATGGCTAAACGTATTATTGTGAATCATACAAATGCTTTTGAAGAATACTTATGAGTTACTTTCTATCACAGTTTCTCTCTTTTGTATTTTTAACAGATAACTGGCCTGGGAGTCAAAGGGATTCCTCCTTACCCCTATGCAGGATAATGCCTCCTTTCCTATTGGAGGATCTTCTGAAGACAACTAGAAAATTCTGCAATTGAAATTTCAATCTAGTAACCGAAAAATAAAGCAATGATATTATTAACAGGGTTAGACTTCTTTTTATAATATTTTAAAGGCAGAACATTTTTAACAAGGGGTCACATGTGATTTTGATGGCACACAGTGAGACATTCTGCAAAGGTACTATGGTACCTGCAGTACTTAATTTTTCATAATCTATTTTACCAATTTACTTGGAATATATAATCCTTTACTTGAAATATATAAGCCACCATGTAAGTCCCTCTACCCTTGTTCATTCATGTTAGAAAACATTATATACTCTATCCATACATACCAAAAATTCATCCATGTAAAAGCTTTTCCTATGAAACATGAAGCATGCTTCAGAGCACACAAGACGAGAATAGTCTATTACATTTATCAAGATATTGTCGTTTCTTTTTAATTTTTTTAATATTTATTTATTTATTGATACAAGCACTGGGTACAGTCAGAAGCGCGGGAGGGTGAGAGAATTCACCAGAGCCAGAGCGGAGAGCAGAACAGGCAGACTGACGAAGTACACTGCTGAGGGGAGCAGCGGGCACTGCAGGAGAGTTCTACACGCCATGTGGGACCCTCGCCGGGGGCTGGGGATCAAACCCGCATTGCAGAGGCTGAGGGCAGCTTCGCAGCCCAGCGCTCAACCGCTGCGCCACCAGGGGAGGCCCAAGATATTGCCATTTCTGTTCATCATTCCTGATGTTCCAAGCTTCCTTTTTGTATCCTTTTTTTATTGTCTGCAGAGCTTCCTTTAATAATTTTTTTCTAGAGCAGGTGTGTTGGTTATTAATGCTCTTAGCTTTTCCTTCCTAGGATAATGTCTTTATTTCACTTTCATTTCTGAAGGCTGTTTTCACTGAATATGATATTCATGGTTGATAGTTCTTTTCTTCAGCCTTTTAACACTTTAAAACCATTATGCTATTCCTTCTAGTATTTACTGTTTGCAATGAGAAATCTGCAGTTATTGAAATAATTGTTCCCCTACAGATAATGAGTCATTTTCCTCTGGCTGATATCAAGAATTTTGATGCCGTCTCTAGTTTTTGATATTTTGTTTATAATGTGTCTAGACATGGATTTCTATAGGTTTATCCTCTTTGAGATTTACTCAGCTCCTTAAATCTGTAAGTTTTTGTCTTTTACTTAACTTGGGAATTTGGGGCCATTACTTCTTCAAATATGTTTTCTGCCTCAGGGGACTTTCTGGGACTCCAATATCTTGAATATAAACTTTTTATTGTTACACAGATCCCTGAGGTTCTGTTAAATTATTTTCAATATTTTTCTCTCTATTGTCCAGGCTCGTTAACTTCTATTGATCTATTTTCAATGTCACTGGTTCTGTTTTTCTGTTATTTCTATTCTGCTACTGAGTCCATCCAGTGATTTTTTTGGGTGGTTATTTTATTTTTCAGTTCTAAAATTTCCATTTGGTTAATCTTATGTCTTTATTCTAATACTTTTCATTTAATATTTGTTTTGAGAATTTTCATGATTGCTCATTCAATCATTTGTTAGATAATTCCAACATCTGCATCATCTCATTTTTGGCACCTGGTGATTGTCTTTCTCCATTTGAATTGAGCATATCATCATTCTTTGTATGCTGAGTGATTTTGATTGTGTCCTGGACACTCTGAATATTATATCATGAGTCTCCAGATATTGTTTACATCCTATGAAGAATGTTGATATATTTGTTTTAGCAGGCAATCTACATAGTTAGGGTCAGTCCACAAGTTTTATCTTGTTTAATATGAGTGTGGTTTCATTATTAGTTCGGTTTTCACAGGCTTTGCAGTGGTATTTGGGCCTGTTACATGTTTGTGCCACCCAGTGGTCAGTGTTGGACTTGGGAGAAGAATTAGCTCAGTTCGCAAAACTCTTTGATACATTAATCAGGATCCAAATCCATGCAAGTCAGGAGCTGGGAAAAGCAACTCCATAATGTTCTTTATGAATGCCTGGGCTCAAGCCCAACCTCAAAAGGCTTTTTCATTGGGAATCTTCCAGGAACACGGCAGAGCTGAAGCCCCAGGCCAGCTCTCCCCCAGCTCTCACTGCAGTCTACCAGTTACCTGATCTCTGCTCTTTTCCCATCTACATTTCTCAAGCAGAGGAGTTCAGAGAGCAACAAGGCAGACATGAAAAGGCTCCAGGCCTCCAAGGAAGGTAAAGAAGACTTTATTATGGACCATCAGGAGATCAGGGATAATCTGAAACACAAAATATGGCATGTCCCCACACACACACACACACACACACACACACACACACATAACAGCAGGCTAGCCTCCTAACCCAGTCACTACAAACCTATTTCTCTAGCTTCAAGGTAGTTGAAGAGTGATGGAACAGCTGACGAGCTCCAGGAACCTAGGTGATATATTCTGAGGGCTTTCAGGAGGTGAGCACCTGGAAATTCAGGTGATCCCAAGTCCCCAGAATGACTCTCTCCAGGACCCATGGACCCAAATATTCAACCTAGTGGAACTCAAGCCCTAGACCCTTTCCCTGGGAGTAGACACCTCCCCAACGACAAACATAACTCTGCGCTAGCTGAATCTTTTCTGGCCAATTGCCCAAATGGTCATCTAGCCAACCAAACTTCTAAATAGACATCTGCTAGACAGTGAATTGAAACATCTCATCAACCTTCAAACCCAAACTTAAATCCAACCCCCAAATCAGAACATCTTATCCACACATGAAGCAGGCCATGTGTCAACATGACTTAACAAGAGGCAACGTTGGGGCTTCCCTGGTGGCACAAGGGGTTAAGACACAATCTATGGGGCCTCCCCCGTGGCACAGCGGTTGAGCGCTGGGTTGCAAACCTGTCCGCAGCCTCTGCAGCGCTGGTTCCATCCCCGGCTGCTGGGCGAGGGTCCCACATGGCGCGCAGACCTCTCCTGCCGCCCGCTGCTCCCCTCAGCAGTACTTCATCAGTCTGCCTGTTCTGCTCCCTGCTCTGGCTCTGGTGAATTCTCTCACCCTCCCACGCTTCTCACTGTACCCAGTGCTTGTATAAATAAATAAATAAATCTTAAAAAAATTAAAAATTAAAAAATTTAAAAAAAGATTTATAAGAAAAAAAAAGACACAATCTATGACACTATCCGCAGCCACTGCAGCACAAGTTCAATTCCCCGCCGGCCAGGGAGCTTACCCACATGGTGCAGCAGACCTCTTCTGTCTTGCTCCCCTCAGCAGTTTATTTCAGTCGATCTGCCTGTTCTGTTTTGCACTCTGTCTCTGGTGAATCTCCTCACCCCTCACACCTCTGGCCTGTACCGCAGTTCTTCATAGTGCTGTGCTTAACCCCTTGCGCCACCAGGGAGGCCCCTAAATAAATAAATCTTTTTTTTTAAAAAAAAAAAGAGGCAACATTCCATCATCCCTGAGGGTCCCTGCATGTTCCTTGCTGGGCATGTCAAAAATGTAAGGTCCTGACTACTTTTTGCACAGGCCATTTTGTGAGTTGTGTTTACAGCAATCTCCCTTGAGTAATGAGTTAGCATTTTCTTCCAGACAAAGGTCAGACTTGTTAATGCTTATTATAAGAGCAATTAATTCTCCTACATTCAGTGTTCCTTCCCTATAATACAACCCACTATGTCACAAGCATGCATCTAGGCCCACCTAGATGCCCTCTTGGAAAACCAGCTCAAATATCACACCAACACTTTGTGAGTAGTCAAGTCCTTCATCTCTGACCCAGGAGTCTCATGTCTTCTATTTTCATCCATGAAATGGGACAGTTTGTTAGCTGGCAAGTAGGGTAAAATCTCAGCCTCTTTACAGTTCTGTACATTAACCTGTACCCATCAGACATTGAGTACAAGTTCTCTCACAGGCACTGACACCAGGCCCTTCATCCCGGCACTAAGTCCTATCATTCTCCTATCAGACACCAACTCCCAATTTATGTTACCAGCTACTACCTCCCCCAGTTTCCCTTCTAGAGCCCACTAATAGCTCCAGAACCTAATTCCTACTTTCTGCTTCAGAGACTAAATTCCAGCCTCTCCTTCCAGAGACTGAATCCTGACCCCTCCTGGCAGAAATCAAGTAGAACTTCTGCCTCCAAAAGATAAGTCCCAATCTGTGCCATGAGTAACTAGGTTCCCCAATTTCCCCTTCGCCGGTCTAATCACCACTCCCTCTCCAGATGTTAAGTTCCAATTTCAGCTCCAGAATCTAAGTCCTTGTAACCCCAAGATGAAGTCTTCAATTTTCAGTGCAGAGGCTACGTCCCAACTTTGACAAGTGGTCACTAAAGCTGTCTACCACCTGGTCTCAACAGAGCAATTCATGATACCATCTCTCATGTAGAAGAGAACAGAGTAGGAACAGACTGGCAGAGATAGCCCTTGTATTCTTCACAGAAGGTACAGAGTTCTTTTTTAAAAAGATTTTATTTTATTTATTCATGCATAAAAGAACCAAGGTACAGGCCAGATGCACAGGAGAGTGAGAGGGTTCACCAGAGACAGAGCGGGGAGCAGAACAGGCAGACGGACCGAAATACACTGCCGAGGGGAGCAGCGGGCGCGACAGGAGAGGTCTGCTGCGCCATGTGGGTATCTCCCCGGCCAGCCGGATTTGAACCCGCGCCTCAGAGGCTGCAGACAGTTCACAGCGCTGCGCTCAACCACCTGCGCCACCAGGGAGGCCCCAGAGTTCTTTTAGAACTGATGCTAGGAAAACCAAGAAAATTAAGATACCTGAGCAGGGCATTTTTACCTTCTGTGGCTTGTTGGTTTTAGATAATTACCCAGGCCCCTGGCAGGCCTATTTATTTATTGGGTAGAGGATGTTGAGGAGCCATGAGACTGATGTAGGGCACCTCAGGGACCAACACCAAGGATACAGACAGGTCTTTTAGGAAAGGCCCACTGGGGAAAAGGGTGACCCAAATACCAGCAGAGTTAGCTAGGTACACAACTGACATTATCTCTTGAGAAAAGGAGGAGAGAGTCAATGAGAGTGGCACAAGTCAACTCTGGGGCTGTCTTGATGAGTTTAGTGACCTTTCTGGGCAATACTCCAAGAATTGGAAGGACCTGAAGCCCCAAGAAATCCCCTTCCTGCATCCAGCTTGTCTTCCCATAACTATCAGGGATGGCTCTATGGCCCAGTT